CCATAGAGTATAGGTACAGTAACTGCTGTAGGTTTGGATTGTTTGAAGTGTACAAAAAAGCTTGTTCGTTTTAGGATATGTATCCATCACCCATCTTCTCTCAGAGAAGTCACTGATCAGTATTAGAAAGTCCAGTAATGCTTTAGTTAACAATGGCGATAAGTTCTGAGAAAAGCATCATCAGGCAATTTTGTGATTGTGTGACATTGTAGTGGGGTCCTTACACAGACCAACATAGTACTATTCAATCACTTGATGCGGCGTCTTACTGTAGTCAAGAAATGCAGTAAACATGAGTGAGGCTTTTGTCAATGTAACATGGCATATACTAATTTACAGTGAATTTTAATTTATTTTGACAGTGTTAGGGATAAAACCTAGGATGCTATGCATGTTAGTTGGGGACTTTGCTCCTGAGCTATATCCCAGCCCTAGAACTTTTTTTTTTTTTTTTCTTAATGAAAATAAAAGTATTCTTTCAAAGAACTATGAAGGGGTTGGAAAGAGATTTCAGATTGCAGTGCTTACCTTGCTTGAAAGCATGAGAACCTGAGTTTAATCCTCAGAACTCATGTGAAGAATCATGTGTGATGAAGTTTGTAGGATTCTTGCTACTAATCAATCAGCCAAGAAGCCTTAGTGAATTCCACGGCAATGAGGGAGATCTTGTCACGAAGAATAAGTAAATAAATAGACAGTTGCCAAGAAACAGCACTCAGGGTTGTCCTTTGGCCTACATATGTACCAATGCATAATCATACACAGCAACAAAAAGGTATACTAAAACTATTTAAACCAGCGATGGAGTCGTTTATCATTATCTAGTACTGGTTGTTATATAGAACTGTATTGCTGTGTTCTGTATAACTGGCAGGTCAGAAGCTCGTTTTACATAACAATCACAGATACATGAGTAATGTATTGCTCTCTGGCATTACAGCTACAATAGGAATTACAATATGGCGTTACAATAGGCAATAGGGATTTTTAACTGTGTATATGGTTTGTTGCTAATTTGCTTTTTTGTTGCTAATGACTTTTTTGCTTAGGTAAAACCTTATTTTATTCCTAATCCTCAACTGGTCTTTGTTCTAATGCCCTGAATAATGTCTGTAGTGTTTTGTTGGAGGTTAAAGAAACAGATGCTAGTGATTTAGGGTGTTGTCATGTCTCAGATGGTTAGTTTCTGTCTTCTTCACTGCTACTTCTTTCAGGCTCCATCACATAGCTTTCAAGTACACTCTGTAAGTGATCAGTATCTCCTTTCTGGCATTTGAATTTGTGACTGCAAACAAAATTCTGTAAGACTTTCAGTCTGCCTCTATTGGTGTTTCTTCATTTTCTTTTTCAGAGGAGCTAAGTGGGATATGTTAGGATAGATTTTGTTTCTTTTGCATACACCAAAAACAGCTAATATACCGTGTATTTCCTCTAGCTTGTTTTATAATGGTTAATTGGTACGAAAGGCCCAAGAAATTCCTTTCTACTTGTGTATAAATAAAAAATAAAAATAAAAAATAACTACCCACATATTTTGAAAGCATTTTTATTTATTTTTGTTTTGTTTTTTGAGAAAGGGTTTCTCAAAACCCTTGGCTGTGCTGGACTCACTTTGTAAATCAGGCTGGCCTTGAACTCACAGAGATCCGCCTGCCTTTGTCTCCCTAAGTGCTGGGATTATAGGCACATGGTGCCACCACACCTCTCTGGAAGTGTCTTTTTCTGAAGACCTTGGGGTTTTGTGAGTTTTAAGCTTGGTATACTGGAATAACTGGAATTTAGTAAACATCCTAGTTCTTGTTTTCTTACCCAATTAGTATGTTACTAGACAAATAATCTAGAGTGACAGAGTACCTGCTTATAAACCAGTGCCTTCTAAATATCAGTGTGAGTAGAACCACTTGTAGGGTTTGTTGAACCAGACTGGAGACATGGTGACATAATTCCTAAGATTCTGGGTTAGGGCCTGAGAATGCATTTTCTCTGCTAAGCTTCCAAGTGTTGCTAGTTTAGGATTTCCTAGGGATATTACTTAAAAACAGCAGAACTCAAACTCAAGTCTGGCCTCCCCTTCCCACTGCCTGGGTTGAGCTCTTAGGATAGTCTTATTATGGAACCCTGGCTGACTTGATATATGTAGTGTAAGATAGACTAGTTGTGAATTCAAGGGTTGGTTCCAGTACCACTGTAGATAGTCCATGTATAGAGTCTCAAGTCCCTTATGTGAAACACCGCTCTACTGCATGTAACCTATATGCAGCTTCCCATATACTTTGTACTTTCTCTAGATGACTGATGATAAAAAATGTAAATACTATTCTAGTCTACATTGCAGTATTACATAAAAGCAGCTCTATTTCTCCCTGCTGATAAAGACCAGTTTTTTCTTCCCAGTCAGCAGCTGCCCTTGCCTCTTGCTCCTTAGACTCTAGAGTTTAAAGTTACTCTGCTGGTAGCTGTAGCTTGTAGTTCAGTGAGAGTCTTGTACTACTTTCCCCCCAGAATGTATACACCCTTTGGAATCAGTATCTCCAAATCTTCAGGGTCACACTCAGAAATATAGATATATTTCTTGTGGAATGAACTCTTTGCTTGGCTTCTTTCTTGAAGTGGTTTTCTCTTAGTATAGTTATTATTTACCTGCAAACAAAAAAAAAAAAAATGCCTTTGTTTGCCTTTTGTTTTTCCCATTTTGAGACAGGATTTCTCATAGCCCAGGCTGACTTCAAGCTCCCCGTGTAGCTGAGAATGACCTTGAACTTCTGATTCTCCCATATAGTAATGTGCTGCCATATGCTGCTCTCTCTGTTTTTTGTTCTTTTTAATCTAACTTTACATTTTTACATATAGTGACCATTGTGTCTTCCAAGACTTAACGGGAACCTTTTGCAGGTTTCTAGAATCCATTTTCAGTATAGCTTACTCTCCATCTCCTTCGTGCTTTGCAAATTTCTTCTTCCTACCTGCCAATTCTTTTCAAGGCAGTTTGGTTTGAATAATCATATGTGTCACCAAATGTGTATATTTCTGTTTCAAGAGTCACTTGTTTTTGTTTCTTGATTCATTTTTCCCTTTGGAAGGAATGTCCTTATGTACTCAGGGTATTCCTAAAAGTAAAGTTCACTGAATTGGCAGGTTCAGTCTTAGAATGTTTATTTCCCACCTTCTGGCATTTACATTACCAAGTACTGCAATGTACAAAGTACCTCTGATTCATTCCTTTGTTCTTTCAGCAGTATGATATCACATGTAATTAGGAGATCTAGATTTGGGGAGCTATAGTATGATACATCAGAAACATTAAACTAGCCCTATTGCAAAATCATAAGTAACAACACCCCACATGAAAGCAAACTGTTTCTTATGATCAAAATGGGAAAGACTGCACTAACTAGTTGAGGATACCTAGCTGCGGCAACTATTATGTATGAAACTGCAACTGTGATGGGGTCTAGAAATGGTTCACACAAATTGAATACAGTATGACAAGGACCATCGTTACCTGCTATGTAAGTGTGTCCTGGTGTCATGAGTCCCTTACTTCAACTCCCCCATACATATAGACCTTCTGAAGAAATCTTGTCTGGTCTTACAGAGCTTTGAACTGGGGTCGTTCTCTTAGATCCAGTCAATTGGGGGTGGGCAGGACTAAGATGATATCACAATCTGGTACCTTGGTGCTATCCATGTGGTCTTCCCATATCTGAAGCAAGCATGGGCTTTTTAATAACATTAATGGGCTCCCTTATCTAATTGTACTTTCATGTCTGAAGTTAGGTAATCTTGTTCCTTTCCCATTCTACTGATTAGAACAAGCCATAAAACTAACCCATGTGGAGGGTTAACTATGTGGAGGAACACATAGTTTTCAGTTCTTGATGGGAGTTGGTATAGTCCTATTGCAGGAGAATATATGAGATAAGAAATATCTTTGTAACTGTATTAGAAGTTTAATTTGCTGTATCTGCTCTTACAAATCTTTGTATAACTTTGTTACTTGACATGGTTTCCTCCTTTAATTTAGCTATCTGCTTTATACACTTAAAAATCTTTTTCACTTGTCATTTTAATAAAGTTTAATCAGAGATACTATATGTTCAACTGTCCATAGTAAGTTGGACATTGTGGTCTTTGCACTCAGGGTTATTGTTGCTTTTTCTTAGTGTCCCTATGTTGCCTTATTAACTTACTGGAAAGCAAGTTGTATTGGTGTCTTTCTGTTATTAATTGATATTTGGAAAGTTACACATCACTGTATAACAGTAGTTAGCAGTGGTTTGTGCAGCTATAAATACATTTTTAACAAGAGAATAAGAATATAAAGAGAGAATTTACACTTGTCTGCGTTTTATTAATACCATACACCAGTAATCTTAACCTGAGTAGCAAAGCGAGTCTCTCTGTTGGGGCTGTAGACTGTGTGACGTTCTCATCTTAGTAGGCCAAGGCTCATAGTTAAGATTAATCCCAGCACTCATTGGGGCAGAGGCAGGCAGATTGCTCTGTGTTCAAGGCCAGCCTGGTCTACAAAGCCAAGTCCAGGACAGCCAGGGCTACAGAGAGAAACCCTGTCTCCGAAAAAAAGAAAGAGAGAAAAGGAAAACCCAGATCTTTCATAAGTTTTAGGGTGCCTAAAGCTCCATAACCAGCAAACAGTGAGACTAATCTGAGGAACTTGAAAACAAAGTGAGACTTAGTTGCCTGTGTTTTAACATTAAAATATTGTTTTTATAGTGGATACGAAATAAAAGGTCGTATCTACTTAGAAGTGAAATAATGAGGTAATATACTTAGATAAGAAGTAACGAGTTTTTGGCTTTTCGAGCTTCTCCTTATCTTTTTAAAACTTGTAATTCAGAGGCTTTTATGGCTCTTGCATAGTTAACAGAGCTCTGTCTTAGAAATGATTGGGTGCTTAAAAACATTTGTGTTGGGGGATGGGGATTCATATTTTAGAATGTATATTTGAAAAGTAATCTAAAAACTTTTATCTTCCACAGGACTTAAATACTATTTATTCTTACCTCCATGGAATGGAAATACTATCAAACCTCAGGGAACATCAGCTCAGGTATGTGTAACTGGTTTACTAGTCTGTGCTGTGTAGTTACTCATTTGTTCACCATATACGCGTTAAGCACCTTTTAAAGTCATCCTGTTTTAGACATTAGAAATAGATGCCTAGTTTCCTAGAGGTTGAAAGCACAGTAAAAACTGTATATAGCCTGGGTGGAGGTGGTACACCCCCTTTAATCCCAGCACTCAGGAAGCACAGGCAGGCAGCGGATCTCTGTGAGTTCAAGGTCAGCTTGGTCTACAGGGGTGTTCCAGGACATCCACAACAACACAATCTCAAAAAGCCAAAGAAAGAAAACAAAACAATAAACTGTATGCTGTGTAGAAGTGTTAAGTACTATGAGTATGATACAGCATAGTGAAGTGAAGTCATCTGGTGGCTGTTTGAGTTTAGATTATTATTGAAAATCTCATAGGAAGTAGGTTTTGAGTAGAGGCCTCTGTAATAGGACAAGAAAGACAAGAAAGAGGACTTTGGTTTCTGTTGCAGAATGAAAAGAGAGATAGAATAAACTAGTCTCAAGAGCCAGATAACTTAGGAAATTTTGTAAGGCTAGGTATAGAAATTTCTGTTTCTTATCCCAGTTTTCCTTAGCCGTAATATATTACGTCATTATCATATAAGCTGCAGGGTTTTTTTCTTCAATAAAATAGGGTGAAAGCTTTATCTTTGTTATAATGCTTTAAAGCTGAATGAGAATAACTAAAGCAAAGAACTGTGCTCTTCCTATGTGCCAGGTAGTGGAGTTTCTCTAATTTTCTTTCTGTTTTTGTGATAAAAACCATAACCAGAAGCAGCTTGGGAAGGAAAAGGTTTGTTTATTTGGTTTGCAAGTTCCCATCACAGTCCATAATTGAGAGAAGCCATGACAGGAATCTGAGGCAGGAACTGAAGCAGAGGCGGTGGAAGTACATTGCTTGCTTCCTTGTTCACCATAGCTTGCAGGTTGCTTTTTTATGCAATCAGGGCCACCTGCATACAGATAGTCCTGACCACAGTGATCTGGACCTTTCCACATCAATCATTAAATCAAGAAAATGCTTCATAGACTTACATACAGTCTAGTCTGATAGAGGCAACTACTCAGTTAGATTTGCTCTTCCGATTATGTCTAGGTTTGTATCAATTTGACATATACTAACTAGCATAGAACTCAAAAATCCTATATTTTCTTTTTAAATATTCTCAGGTGCTTAATATGGGCACAGTATGTTTACCTGGCATGAGTTCCTGCAGCCAAGATCCATATACTTTATGAACCTCTGCTTAGTCTTTAAGATAGTCAGGCTTGCCAAGCAGTGTAGCACAAGCCTTAATACTAGCACTCAAGAGGCAGAAGCAGATGGATCTCTTGAGTTCAGGACCAACCTGGCCTACAGAGCAACTTCCAGGACACAGAGAAACCCTATCTCAAACAAAAACATAATCACATCTGAGATCATATGGTTATATTATAGATGCTTTACAGTGCTGTAAAGCATTAATTATTGTGATTTTTTATATTTTCAGTCTGCTTTCTTTTGATGACCCATTCATTAGCTCATTGCTTTTCCTCAGTGTTCAAGGTTCTGATGGTGAACCAAATTGTTACAATATAGTTTATTTTCTATTGCATTCTGCTTTTTGTATAATGTAACTCAGGTGTTAGTATTTGTGAGTAAATCAGGAAAAATGAAATAAAAACTGAAAAATTAGAAGAGTTATGTTAAAATGTATTTTTTATTTTTAAAGATACTTTAAGTGCAACAAATCTATATACCTAGCAGATTTTTGGTGTAAATGTGCTGTTGTCAGTGACCTTTCTTCACAAGAGGTGGTAATGAATCATTCAGATATATATTTTGTCATTATAAAAGTTATTTACTGTTAATTGACAGGTCTTATAATATACATAAAAATAATAAGTCCATGCTACTTAATATCTGTTGCTTTTTTTAATTGGTTTTGTAGTTTTGTTTTACTTTGCTTGAATTTTGGATACAAAACTATGAAACTTGTGCCAGTCTTCATATATCTCTGCCTTACACAACTAGCTTATGTTACTTTTTTTAAAAGTGAAGGAAATGCAAAATACTTTAAGATAAACCAAAATATTATTTGTTGCTTTTATTAAAAATGTTATTACATTACATATATTTCCAAGCTTAGTAAAAATTTAGTTGTATGTCTAATAATTTTTCTATTGATGTGACAGTTTTTAAAACAAAATGTAAGATAAAACCTTAGCTTTTTACCCTTTTTATTAGGTTAATGTCTACAAGAGCACGCTATGAGAGATACAGTGGCAATCATATGCTTTTCTGGTAAGTGTTTTTATGATTAGCTTAGATTAATGTTGAAATCTTGACCTTTCACATTAAAGTTCATTTGGTAATCATAAATTAAAGTATAATACATACAAAATATAGTAAATGGTCTAGTGCATCAAATGTTAGAAATATATACAGCTGTGACCACTGTTGCTAAAGAGACTGGCTATCTAGAAAGTTCTACTCAGTGCTGTTTTAGAATGCTAATTACAATTGTGACTTTATTATTATCTATTAATTTTACATTTTTTAAACCTCTTATTGATAAAACCTTTTGATCAGATTGTTATGTACCAGATGTTAGTCCTGGATTCTTTAATGTTTTACTTTTGTTCTCTTTCACTGATATAGATAGAATATATGTTGGTTATCTGTTCTACTGTATATTGGGGTTGCTTCCAGATTTTTACTGTTGTGAACATATAAAATAAGTTTCCTGTGGGAATTTTGTTCACCCCTTTTGTACCTTTACTTATTTATTCCACTTAATCATCTTCCTAAAAATAGAACTACTAGCCTTCAGTTTTAGGAGTGTCACCAGCTTTCTACTATAGTTATGGCAATGGCTGTGCCTATGAGCTGTGTGTTAAGTCCTGGTACCCATAGTTTCTGTTTATTGTTTGTTTGCTTTTGTTTTTCGAGACAAGGTTTCTTTTTGTGGCCTTAGTTGTCTTGGAACTCGATTTGTAGACCAGGCTGGTATCCCCACCATGCCTGGCCCAGGTACCCATCTTTAACAACCTTTGCAGCCTATTTTGTGTGCTTGCTTCAGTTTTAGACATTCTGCTCCTTGTGTCATTATCTCACCATGATTTAGTCTATAGTGTCCTGCTTACTCATAATGATAAATGGTTCTCATACCTTCAGGTTGTTGGGCTAGCACCTAATGAAATCTTAAGGTCTTAACCATTTTTTATTGTAATGCCTTATTTATCTTGACTTGGGAAAGTTCTATATGGATTATCAAAATCCATGATGGTTGTGCTTGCTGCAAATACTTTTCCCATTATGGTTTTTATCTTTTCTACATCCTTTAAAGAATATATGCTTGGAGGCCAAAGGGTTCAGTTCCTCTGGAGCTGGATTTATAGGTGGTTGTGAGCTGCCGAACACTGGCCCTCTGTAAGAGCAGTATGCACTCTTAACCCCTGAGCCATCTCTACAGCTATGTTTAGTGCTTTTTAAAAAATTTTTTAAAAACATTTATAAATACCAACTCTGCTTTAAGATTGTAACGACCATGTTCTGTTTTTATTTAAAACCTTTGGTATTTTGCTTCCCAAATAAAGCATACTAATCCCATAATGAAAAAAGACTAGTCATTGTTGCAAAATATAATTCTTATTTTCCTTGATTTTATGTTTTCAGAGTAAGTTCATTCTACATAACACAGCTGTGTTATAGCAGTTATAAAACAAAAGTAATTTTTGTACATTAGATACAAATTTGTTGAAATTATGTAGGTTTTTATTTGATCTATTGTATGTATGCAGTTTAATGAAGGAAATCTGGCTTGATATGGAGAAAAGGTTAAAATGAGTATTTCAGCAGCCTATTTAAATAATTTGTTTTTTCTTTGTAATATCAAATTGTTTAAAGTTTCTTATAGATTAGTTATAACACAAAGTTCCTAGTGTGATTTTGAATACTTTAAAGAAAGTGTACTTAAATAAAGTATATTTAAATAAAGAATTTTGGTGGCTTTATTTAATGGAAAACCAACTTTGGTTTGGTTTTTATTTTGTTTGTGGAGTATTTGGGGGCTTGAGATACTTTCTTTGTATCACTGCCTACCTACCATGCTATCCTCAAATTCACAGCAATTGCTAGCCTCTGCTTCATGAGTGCTGGGATTAAAGTATGATTTTGTTGTTGTTTTGCTTTTGAAACCTTATTAGTCTCTTGTAGACCCACTGTCCTGGAACTCTCAGTGTAGTAACGGGTTTGCCTGACAGAGATCCACTTGCCTCTTCCTCCAGAATACTGGGATTAAAGGTATATGCCACCACAGTAGATAAAATGCTTTTAATGAGTTATTTTCCTTTGTGTGATTTTTGTGGCACTTTGTATAAATTATTTGCAAAACATTAACGCTAATGAATTTTGTAGTTTTTCCACTTTGACATATTTTTATACATTATTTGAAAAATGTCAGTAGCTCATGCAACCACTAGTTTCTTCCAAAAAGCATAGGAATGTTCCAAGCTTGGTACATCTTCTAAAACTGAAATTTTTGAAAGCTTTAGTTTTATTTTATAGTTGACAAATTTCTAATTATGTCTAGATGACCTAGCAGCTATTAATACTATTTACACTTGCCTGTGTCCACTTGGACTTTAATTTTGTGCTGGGTAATACATATGGATCTATTTGCATTCTTCTACATACAGATATTCAGTTAGACAGCCCCACAACCGCAACCGAAAAAGCGTAGAGACTCTAGACTGCATCTTTTTGACTTAGGTGGTCGGGGAGACCTGCCATTGACCTCCAGGGAGCAAATTTCCGAAGAAAGCGTGTCTCCCGCCCTGTAGCACAGTCTATTGCTATGCTACACTGGCGACGCTGGAGTGGGTGTGGCAGTGTAGAGAGATGATAAGAGCATAGGTAACAGTTGGAAAGAAGACAGATGGTGATAGTGATTGGCAGCTTAAACTTTAGTTTACTGAAGATCTGATATCTTGTACTGAAGCATATTCTGGTAAATGACTGGAAATTCATTTAAAGCAAACTAGAAGATCAGATCTCTAATAGTCTGGGCATGGTGGCTCACATGGGGAGTCTCAGCAGTGGGAGCCTCAGAGTAGCAGAAAGTTCCAGGTTAGACATACAGAGTAAGACCCTGTCCAAAAAAAAAAAAAAGTAAATAAATCTTTTTAAAGAGATCAAGAAATTGAGAAGGATGAATATCAATGTCAGTATAAAATCCAATGATATCAATGTTAGAAAGGATTTGTATCAGCTAAGAATTCTACAAGAAATGGGAAAATTGACCTTTAGTGTCCATAACTGATTACATCAGAGGACACTGACTCATATGATCTGATGATCTAATATTTAAAGCTGGGAATTTTTAATAATGAAAGGAAAACAATGGTTTGGTATTGATAGGTATAAGGAGAGGACACTGAGCCATCTGTAGGCCCAGAGGCAGGAAAAATATGTGAGAGTAGCCATTTACCATTGTGAAATATCTGTAGGTAGCAGTGTCCTAGGAAATCCTAAGAGAATAAAAGATGTCTTTCACATGTCTAACTGATTATCCTATCCTTGTGCTTGGTTGTTAAGGTACGGGAGAGTTAATGAGTATCTGCAGTATTTAAGTTTTTGCTGATAAGTGTAACTTTTTGACAATCCCCGAAAATGAGTGGCAAATAGGGGAGATCTAAAAATACTAGGACATTTGGTGAAAGTTGTTGAATTGTATAAAAAAAGGAAATCCTCACTTTCTCTCTCACATACTCACTTTCCCACCCTCTGGTATACTAGAAATGTAACCTCGGGCCTCAGACATGCTAGACAATTGCTGTATCACTGAGCTATATCCCTAGCCCCTTCAGTGACTTGAAATTGGAATTTTAAATAAAACTCTACTAGACTTGAAGTTTAGACTATGATATTATATGAAATTTAAAACTGTCTACAGATATAAGTCCTTGCAAGTAAATGGGTAGCATTTTGTTTTCCCACAAGTAGACTCTTTGAACACCCAATAATTTTAGGCTTCCTTAAATCTTAGTCGTCTTTAAGTCTTCCCGGAAAGTCATAGTTGTACATAAGAATATGTTTTCTAATTTTCAGTGGAATATTTCTAAAATAGATTGTTTAAAAACTTGCATTGATTGATAAATGTTCTCTGAGACAGTATCCCTTCTTTTACTGTCCCATATTTCTTGACAGCTGCTAACTTTGCATACTGTTTACCAGCTCTGTTCACCTGAGCCTAAAGTTATCTCTAACAGTGTTAATCTTATTTTCTTCACTCTTAACCTCATCTTTTAAAGTTGGGTGTTTTTGTACTACCTTTCATAAACATTTGGTCTTTTTGGGGGGGAGGTTGCTGGTGTGTATTGCTTTGGTTTTGGTTTTAGTTTTGTCAAGACAGGGTTTCTCAGTGTAGCCTTGGCTGTCCTAGACTCACTTTATAGACTAGGCTCCCTCAAACTCACAGCAATCTGCCTGCCTGAGTGCTGGGATTAGTATTTTTTTTTTCCTTTATGATGTGGCTATCCATTGTGTAAAGATATGTTATACATACCTTCTATGTAACTGTACTTTGTAGTCACTGTATGATTGACCATCATACACAGATAAGCTGACAATTAGAAAATAGATGAACAGTAAGAAAAATGAACTTCTGAAACTCTGTTCTGTAGAGGTAGGAAGGGTAAATTGTGGAGCTGTAGGAGAGAATGCCTTTCTGCCCTTTGCAGTATAGTACTATATATCAGTGAAGAGCTGACTTTGCTTTTTTGTGTCATTAAACAATGAATGTATACAATTTTCATCAACCGCTAAGTTGAGCTACTTTATGAGAATTTCCTTAAAATATTTTTAGTGTTCTCATGTTTTCTTTTTACTAGTGATGTAAAGGTTTTTTTTTAATCCGTGTGTGTGTGTGTGTGTGTGTGTGTGTGTGTGTGTGTGTTGAAAATTATCTGCTTTTCCCTTATGTGAGCATGCTCTTTGTAAAGTGTTAGGTAGCATGCAGATTTCTCAATATTTTTACTTACTTTTTAACTATTTTTAGTATTATCAGAATGATTCTATGCTTTGTTTCATATTAAATCTGTACATATGTAAACATTTGTATTTGTTTCCTCTTTTTCTTATGTATTTAAACAGTTCAGAAACTATTGCCAGATGTTGGTATATCCTGCTGTCTGGATCTGTACTTGTAAAAGACTCTATGGTCCTTCCTCCTTGCAGGTAAGTTTCCATTGATACTGTGTAGTTTTGTTTTGTGGCTTGGTCTTAATATGTTTCCTTCAAGATGTGCTCCAGCCTCAGACTCAGTCTGTTCCATCCAGCTAGGCAGAATTAATACTGTAGCTCTCTTGTTTCTTCTTTTAGATCTTATATGTATATTTTTTCTCAGTGGTTAATGTTTTTAAAGTATATTTTTCTGTTGGTACCATTGAACATTTTTGGCAGGAGTCTAATACTTACATTTTTTCCTATTTGAATCTTACTAAGTTATGTGACTTAGGACAAATTTTACTTTTCTGTAAGACAAAGATAGTAATAATCATTGCTAAGTGTTGTCATGAAGCGCTAGCAAGTTCTGCTGCTCAAAGCTTTCAGAAGTCTGTAAGAACTCATTGTAGAGCCAGATTGCTGAAGTTTGTATTTCTACCTAGCAGTTTTTTGGCAGATTATTTAATTTTGCTAAGCTTACTCAGAAATAGGTAAAATAGTGAAACTTGTTTGATAGACTCGGTCTGTGAAATAAATAAGTTAGCCTAAATAAATCTCCCTTAGAATAGTTCCTGGCTATTTAAAATAATTGTTAACAATCTTCATAATTACTTTTTGTTTTTTAAATATACCTTTAAAATGTATTCTTTCACAATTTATGTATATTTGGATTCTGTTCTTTCCCACTAAACACCTTCTTCTCAACAAGTCTTTTCATTTCATTTGTGTGTGTGTTACACGCATGCTGTGCCATGGTACACGTGTGGGGAAATCAGGACAACTTGAGTCAACTCTGTCCTTTTGTTATATGGGTTCTGAGGATGGAACTCCGTTCCTTGGCTAGGCAGCAAGCACCTTTACCTGCTGAACCATTTCATTGTTCAAAGAAGATTTTTAAAGTGGGATGTGAGATTGCAGCTAAATTACTGTCATAATGAAATTTATTAAACTTAAATACAAGGGCACAGGGTATCTCAGTTTATATGCCATTTTAAAAGTCATATCTGGAATTCTAAAACTTTACATTGTTGGCCATGGGTTAAGTGAAATCTGTGCTTCTTCATGAGTAGAATAAAGCGTGTTAACTTTATACAAAGAAATCTATTGGTTCTTGGTTACTTAAGCGTTTCTGTTATTCCATTCCCTATGTTTGTGAAACTCAAAATAATGAATTTGCTTTGAGTCAGCTCTGAAACCACTGCCTGTGGTTGTTTTTAGGATTAGTATTTTCTTTTGAATATTTTTACACTGTCCTCTGGCTTTTAAATAGTCCAAAATTTGTTGTAAAACTGCTTGCAACCAATAACTGGCCATTAGTTTATAATCTAGGCAATGATGTTTGAGTTTTTAAAATAATTCATAGGAATATTTGAGTTTTACAAAGTTAAAGTTATTTTGGACATTAACTTAGCCACTAAAAACACAGTAACATGATTATACTCATTTAGTTAATCTTTATATTAAAGAATATGGGTAGCGTGTTTTTTATATTTTGTGTGAAGAAGTTCTTGAAATTTATTGGACCCTTGTTAGGATTAATGAATGACTAGAAAGAGAAGTACATAAAATGATAATTGGCATAAAATAAGCAATCATATTTTTTTTTTGCTTGTGTGAATGTTGGGTCTGATCATTATGATAACAAAAGAATGTGAACCCTCCATAGTGTAAGACTAGGGGTGATAGTAGTATCCCAGTCCACAGAAATACAACCAGCTTCTCCACTGGAACAGTTTAACTTAAAGATATTAACTATTGAAGGACTTTGGTGCTATTAAGGATTAAAAAATAATTCACCCCAGCTGAGGGTGAGATCCCAAGTTAAAGACACACATAAAAGGGGAACTGGTCTTCTCCCTATGACTGACTGGAATCTAGACTTTACTAGAAAATGCTATTTGTACTATAATGCAAGAGAACTTTAGAGTGCGTCTTGTCAAAAGTTGGTTTATACTGTCTGGGAACTGACAGTATGAGCTGATGAACATTGATGGCAAGCAGGAGAAATACCCCAGTCTCATCTCTTCCTCTAAATGCAGGCTGGTTCACAGTGATGAAAGGGTCAAGAGCCCTGCCCTCCCCTTCACTTTCAACTGCAGAGCAAAGACCTTCTTTCTTGGGTACCCCTTGTCCCCCTCTGGTGACAAAACTGCCTCTTTGCCACCTGGGATAGTAGAACACTACAGAATCCATAACTTTTATAACAAACTAGGACTGTGAAGGGTCAATTTGAAGCAGAGAGTCGACCTATTTAGTGTTGAGGAAGTAGGTAAATGAAAAGTTAACTGTCATGGCATTTGAGCTTACATTGAATGCTTCTAAATACATTGGATTTCCATTCAACAGCAAAACAACTCTTTTTGCCTAATAAAATACAACCATCCTTATTAACAGGAAAGGTTTGAAGAAAGATTTTTCTTTCTTGGCAACAAGCTAACAAATATAAGGCAGTGTCCTGTTTGTTCTTTTTATAATGAAACTCCTGCAGGAAGTAACCCAAAAGGTACCCCAGGAAATTAAATTTGGCAAGTGGATGTGCTTCATTTTGCAGAATTTGGAAAATTAAAGTATGTACACTACAACATTGATACATATTTAGGATTTCAATTGGCAATTGCCTTAAGTTCTGAAAAGGCCGATTCTGTTATTATACATTTATTAGAAGTTATGACTATTAAGAGGATACCAGTATAAATTAAGACTTACAGTGCTCTAGCATATGTCTCTAATAAAATGAAACAGTTTTTTTGCGTATTATAACATAAAGCATATTGCAAGTAAACCTCACAGTCCTCTAGGACAAGCAGTTATAGAAAGATCTAATCACATTTTAAAAAATAGACAGGGAAGGGTAATAAAGACCCCCAGAGATAAAACACACAGTGCTTTATTAATTTTAAATTTTTTAAATGCTAATGAGAAAGGAACAGCAGCTTCAGAAAGACACTGAATAATAGAAAAATAAAACTGTCCAATTAAATCGGCCTGTATAGTTTAAAGATGTGTTGACCTCACAGTGGAAACTGGAATATGTATTAAGGTGGGGAAGAGGTTTTGCCTTTGTTTCCAAGGAGGAGAAAAGCTGCGGATACCATCAAAATTGATAAAGATTAGGTTTGACAGGAGAGATCTGAATAAAGAGAAGCTATAGTTTATCAGATAGCATGGTCATTCAGTTCAAGGCTAAAGTTTTCTTTTCTTTTCTTTATTATGTATACAGTATTTTGCCTGCAGGCCAGAAGAAGGCACAGGATCTCATTATAGATATAGATGGTTATGAGCCACCATGTAGTTGCTGGGAATTGAACTCAGCCAGTGCTCTTATCCTCTGAGCCATCTCTCCAGCTCCTAAAGTTTTATTCTTAAATAAAAAGGATATTTTTGTTTTTGCAATTAAAAATACGGTTAAGATATTTAAAATGTTTTAAGTAACTTCAAAGTTCAGACTTATTTTCTAAATCTCCAAGAGTTGGAGTAATTTGGTACTAAAATAAAAAATTTGATCAGGACAGTAGTAGCCATGCCTTTAATCCCAGCAGAGACAAGTTAGTTTTTTTTCTCAAGTCTAGAGTAACAATGGACAGGGTGGTAATAATTCACACCTTTAATACCAGCACTTGGGAGGCTTATGCCTTTAAATCAACACTCAGGAGACAGAACTTCACAGATCTCTTAGTTCAAGGACAGCCTGATACTGAGTAAGTTCTAAGTAGAGTAAAACTTGGGTTCAGGTGTGGGGGTTCACACCTTTATCCCAGAAGTTCAGAGGTAGAAGCACGCACATAAGAATTAGTAGTGATTAAACTTAAAAACTGCTTGCAAAAGGCAGGCTGAAATTCAAAGTCTGTCCTTTGTAACCTAAAAATAAGTTTCAAATTTTCAGAATTTTTTCTCTAATTTTCAATTGAAAGATAGTACCATTTCTATGCCCCCCCCCCCAAAAAAAAAAAAAAAGAGTTTGCCCTAAGGAAAGATATAAACCACCAAAAAAGAATATCTCCAGAGCTAGGGTTTGGGTAGGGTTTTGTTTTTATCTTTCCAGAAAAGTAAAAACATCAAATAAAGGAATCCAGAGACCACCGGACAAATGGAACATCCGAAGTAAAAGGACAGATTATTAAGAGAAATGTCAGAAGAAAAAGAGTAAATTGCTCAGTCTCCAAGTGGGTACCCTAGTAAGGAGAACAGGGACCCTCTCTGGCTCTTTGATCACCTCTCCCTGAGTGGGGAGCAGCCTTACCAGGCCACAGAGGAAGCCAGTGCAGCCACCTCTGATGAGACCTGATAGGCTAGGGTCAGATAGAAGGGGAGGAGGACCTCCCCTATCAGTGGACTAGGAGAGGGACATGGGAGGAGAAGAGGGAGAGAGGGTAGGGTTGGGAGGGGATGAGGGGGAGGTGGCTATAGCTGGGATACAAAGTAAATAAACTGTAATTACTAAAAAATAAATTTAAAAAGGTTTCAGGAAAAAAAAAGAATAAAAAAGGAGTAAATTGGCCAAGTGGTATCGTTTATCTCTACCTTGTCTCTTCTGCCTTCTGTGCCAAGTGGTCTCACATGCGGTCCTGAAAGACCCCCGGAGGGTATCTTCCGTCTGAGAGACCCCCTCCCAGGGAACAACGAGGCCATTCGGATGCAAACAGCAAGAGGCTTTTATTTTGATACACAGGTACCCGGGGCAGCAGAGTCACTCGGAGGACTTGCGCACCCCCTGGGTGGAAAGCTGGGGTTTTTATAGGGTTTTAGAGCAGAAGCGCGGGTACAGAAGCGAGAAGCATGGTTACAGGGGGCTGATTGGTACATTTACATGAGACCACGGTTTGCGTCAAAGTTTGGCAGGGACACCAAGATTCCAGGAACTGGGTGGTCAAAATGGTCATGATGACTCCTTGACGTGGCCCGCCACCTGTTGTTTTCCTTAGGACCCTTATCTTAACTGGAACAGTCTCACAGATATCCATGAGGGTGATTAACACAAACTGTTTTTAGTTCGACTGGGGCAGCCTGACCGC